TGTGATGGCTAGTGTGGCAGCCATCATGAAGAAACTATCAACACACGTGGGTGCAATTTTGAGCCAATAATCAACAATACACACACACACACACACGCAAAATATATAGATATGTGTCTAATGAATTAATAATGTTCACTTGCCTGACTATGTTTTGTTAAACTATGAATATGAACCATTGATAAGGCTCATGCCTGAATATGTGAACCTAAATTCACAGTTGTCCAGCAACGTAAATTTGACAAGAGAATAATTATACTGTCTTATAATAACATGTGAATGTGTGTGTTAGTTGTTTTTACTGGAAAGCTAAAGATTGGAATTTTGCATGGTGTTAATTGTGATAAATTTGGTTTTCCTTACTATTCAGATATTGATGAGTGCAAGGATTCGAACCCCTGCAGTATTGGAACGTGCATAAATTTATCTGGAGATTATTCTTGTAAATGTCCCAAAGGGTACAAAAACGATGACAAGAATCAAAAGAGTTGCATCAAACACAATCCCAGCAATCGATGGAAGATCATTCTCCTGCCTGTTATTTCATTGGGTATGTTTTATGTACCAACCTACGTATGTTTCCCCCTTCTCAGTACTAAACATTGATTAATCTCACTAACAAGACCCAAATTAAACTGAATAAATATCCTTCATTGTGATACATGTAATCTTATTTCGTCTTAACATATTACTTTCTCAGAAGCATTTTATCCTAGAAAGTAAAGCACAAGGTAAACAACAAAACCAACATCCATAGTTTAAGACTTTTCACCAATCTATCTTTAACACTCTTTTTTTTCTTTTCTAATTTTATTTTTATGACTAGATCTGCATAAAAACTTACAAAATAAAACTTGGTTGTGACAATTTTCAATTATGTGCAGGTGTCTGTGCAGGCCTCTTGGTTTTACTAATTGGAATTTCATGGATATATTGGGGAATGCATAGAAGAAAGATCATGAAACTCAAAGAAAAATACTTTAAAGAAAATGGTGGTTTATTGTTACAACAACAACTTGCTATTCAACGAAGCTCCATGGAGGTAACAAAAATCTTTACGGCAGAAGAACTTGAGAAGGCCACAAACAATTACCATGAAAGTCGAGTCCTTGGTGAAGGAGGATATGGAACGGTTTACAAAGGAGTATTACCAGATAACAAAGTGGTTGCCATAAAGAAGTCAAAAATTGGTGTCTCAACTCAGAAGGAGCAGTTTGTTAATGAGATGGTTGTTCTTTCTCAAATCAACCATAGAAATGTGGTGAGGCTATTGGGTTGCTGTTTAGAGACACCAGTACCTTTACTAGTTTACGAATTCATCACCAATGGCACTCTTTTTGAGCACATTCATAATACAAAGGACAAGGGATCACCACTTTCATGGGAATTACGATTGAAGATAGCAGCAGAAACTGCAGGAGCACTAGCATACTTGCACTCCTCTACTTCCATGCCAATCATACACAGAGATGTGAAAACAACTAACATACTATTAGATGGGAATTACAGAACAAAAGTGTCAGACTTTGGAGCTTCAAAATTGATTCCTCTGGATCAAACTCAACTAACAACTTTAGTACAAGGGACACTCGGATACTTAGACCCTGAGTACTTCTGTTCAAGTCAACTAACAGAAAGGAGTGACGTTTACAGCTTTGGAGTTGTCCTTATGGAGCTACTAACGAGCAAAGTGGCACTTTCTTTTGACAGGCCAGAGAAAGAGAGAAACCTAGCGAGCTTCTTTGTTTGGTCAATGGAGGTGGATCGCTTGAATCAAATTCTTGATGATGAAATAGTCAAGGAGGGAAATATTGAGACACTAAGAAATGCGGCCGATCTCGCAAGAAGGTGTGTAAGGTTAAAAGGGGAGGATAGGCCTACCATGAAGGAAGTAGCAATGGAGCTAGAGGGAATGAGAATTATGGCAAAGCATCCATGGGGGAAAGCTGATTGTCCAGAGGAGACCGAGTACTTGCTTGGGTCAGGTAAGTCAGACGCTTATGTTGTGGATGTTACAGCTGATTGTGGTCATCCTAGTGGTACAAATAGTGGATATGACAGCATGCAAATCCAGATGTTAATGTCATATGGTGATGGGCGATAATAATCTATTGCTTGTTGCTATACGGTCTAGTTGTGATGTATTCTACAAAATGTAAACCAATATCTTCTTCTTTGTTGTTCTTATTGGTTTATATGGATGTTGTGAATTCAAAATGTCTTTCTGCCAGTGATATAGATGATCAGTTGAGACTTCAATTAAGACAACAGAGAAGTTACTTTTACTGTTTGGACCAAATATTTTTACTGTTTGGTAACTATGCAATTTAGTACAGTTCAAAGTTTGACCCAGTAATTCACCCCCGACTTAATCAAAATTGGGAAAGCAAAATTGTTGCTGGCATACATATGCTTGCTTCCTTTGGGATTCAAATTGATTTGGGATGTCAGAATTTTGAGGTTGCTCTGTTTTCTTAGATGCTTGATTTGGGATTCAAACTGATTTGGGATGTCAAAATGTGGCCAATCTCGCAACCAAATGCTTGATGTTACAAGGGGAGGAAAGGCCTACAATGAAAGAGGTAGCCATGGAGCTGGAAGGAATGAGAATTATGGCAAAGCATCCACGGGGGAAAGCTGATCCAGAAGAGACCGAGTACTTGCTTGGGTCAGCTAAGTCAGATGCTTATCGTGTGGATGTTACAGCTGATTGTGGTCATCCTAGTGGATATGACAGCATGCAAATCCAGATGTTAATG